CATTAAGCCGCTGCGCCACTGCGTCCCCGTAGATGTCAGTAGTAACTAATGACATAACATTTTCCCAAAGTTTTTTTCATACTTGTAACAATATATGTACCTTTTGAGTATCGTGAGTCATGTCCCAGCTTTTTAAGGATTAGTATGTTGTCACTTTTTTGTATTTTCACAATAACTGCCTCTTTAGTATATTGCATAAATACTACTCTAATCCTTTAAAAGGGGGGGAAAAAACCTAGAGAATTAGGACTCCCCAAGGAATATCTTGCTAAAGCTATGAAGTCATGGGTTGTGGAAATGCCTTTATGAGTTAATTCTTGAGAACCCTCTACATTGCTTTTAATTCCATGATGGAACAAAGTTTTGAAATTTGAGCATATCAACTATCGTTCCTGTTTTTCAGAGACTGTATGAAAGGCGATGAAACAGAGAACAAGAAAATTGGTTGCACTGTTAACTTGATGGTGAGAAGCATCTTTGTGACACTATAGACATAATTTTGCCAGGATTATCTATTGCAAACTGTTTCTTTGAATTCTCATAATTTCATGTTTGTGTCAGTGATAGCATGTAGCCCCCTTATCTTCTGTTGGCCTCTTTTTTATTGCTTTTGATTTTTCCAAACATCAGGATTTTCTCCAGTGACTCTTGTCTTTGCATTATGTATTCAAAATATCTAAACTTAGGTTCATTATTAGGGCTTCCAATAAGCAGATCAGCTTGTGTTTCATCTAGTATTTAATTACTAGTTCTTATTCTTAACAACTGTTCTTTGTTCAATCTTTCTAATTGTCCAGTTTTCACAACCTTATATTACTACTAGAAAAACTATGGCTTTGTCAGTATGTACCTTTGTTGGTAGTGTGATGTCTCTGACTTTTGTCTGGATTTGTTATAGTGCTTTTTCCAAGTAGCAGACATCTCTTTATTACAGTCACCGTCCTGAGAATTTTTGAATCTAGGAAGATTCAATCTGTTACTTGTTCAGTTTCTTCACCTATTTATACTTGGTTGGCATTGCCTACTAACATAACTTTAGAGTTTTTTTAAAAAAAAATTAATAGTATCCATCTGCCTTTTGTTCTCTCTTTTCAGCAAGAGACTCCTTAAGTTATCTTTATTTAACAGAGTGGTATCATCAGCATATCTGAGGTTTTTAATGTTTCTCACACATATGTTGATACCAATTTTTATTTCTTCTAGCTGAGCATTTCTCATGATATTTTCTGTATATAAGATGATGATGATGATGCTATGTTATTCTGCCTTTTTAATAAGTTTTTATAATATAAGTAAATAAGGTGACTGTATACAGCCTTGGTTCATTTCTTCCCCAGTTTTGAATCAGTTAGTTTCTCCATATTCCATTCTAAATGATGCTACCTGGTCCTCATACAAATTCTTCAGTAGGCTGATGACATGGCTCAGTACACTCATGTTTTTAAGAGCCACCCATGGTTTGTCATGATCTTTAGAGTTAAAAGCCTTTGTATGGTCAATAAAGCAAAAGAAAAGGCCCTTTTTTGGAACTCCATTACATTTTCTATTGTCCAACATGATCTACATGATTTCCTACCACTTTTTCCATCATTTTCTTGCCACAAGAAAACAAGAGTCAATATTTGTACAATGTCTTTTCTTATTGATGTTAAAAGCCATAAGAAAACCTCTTTTTGGTTAAATTCTGTCTGAATTGCCTGCCGTGTGTGAACAAGAGAAAATAGGTATGAATAGTATTGCTAACAGGATAGAGAGAATTCCAAATGCCTTTTTTCAAGGAATTAGTATATGTAATTAATTGCAGCTTTCTTCAGTTTAACTGAGGCATTAGTGCCTTTGTATTGGCATTAGCTGTTATACCAATTCCTGCCATCTCAGAGCTATTTGATTGTCTAACAAAGTAATTTCATTGCTAAAATTTAGGGGTAAATTGCACATTACTCAGTTGTTAACTTTTTTTCTGTTGAAAAAGTGTGTTCCTGCATGCTCTGAAACATCCTTTGAAAATTGAATCCAAAGTTCTTCACAACTCGAACAATTACATGAAAAAACTGGATGGTACCGCTGCTTAACACAGAAAATAAAACCTAGAACATAATTCCCCTAAAATCAATATACATTTTTATTTGATCTGATTTGATCATTTTCATACTTGAAGTGCCTTTCTGTTGAGGAGGGCCTGATATAACATCAAACCATTGTTTTAGCATTCAGAGAACAAGCCATAGTGTGTTTTGAGCTTACTTCTGTTGCTTGTACTAGGAGATAATTGAATCTTCCAGTTTTATTCAGTCATCCCAGAATCTAGTTTTGATTTCAAATAATCCTGCCTTGTGTTGGTTAATGACCACAATAAATATTTAGGTAAATAATCCTGATTTGTAAGTGAAACGTAACAGAATAAATAAAATTAAGATGTAACAGGGAACTGTAATACAGTATATTCAAAACTAAAAGTTAAAGCTTTCTTCCTGCACAATACTGGATGGGTGTAGAAGAGGATATATGACTTCAGTTTCTTTATGGTTCATTTCATGAAACTGATTTAGCATTCTAAATGAACTGACAAAAAAATGCATAAGTCTTGAAAATATCTTATGACTGACAAATTGTCAGAGATTATTTTGTTGAAATACATATTTTATTTTTCAGAATTTTTATAAATCTGAAATTAATAAGGAGGAAATGTATATCCGCTATATACACAAGTTATGTGACATGCATCTGCAGGCTGAAAATTACACAGGTAAATAATGAAGAAAGTTCTAGTTATATATTTACTGTGGTCTCTTTTAAATACATCTAATTAAATCCTCATAAAATAGTTTACATATTATTTTTTAATTGCAGTAAATATTTTTTAAAACTGCAGATGTGTAATTTAAAGATTAATCAATTGTATAAACATATAGTAACATCATTCTTACTAAATTGCATCACCGTGGTCAATAAAAATATGTGGCTAGGATCATATATGTTGTTTCTGAGTGGTGATACAATATCTTTAGAAGAATGTCTGTATTTTTGTAAAGCGTCTTTGAACAAATTCTGCACTATTTGTTTACATTACCAATATTTCTGCATAAATACTGCTCAACAATTAGCAATTTGAAGAACTAGCTGGAGAGTTTCAGGTAATTTATTTTTAATTGCACAGATACAATATAATTTTTACTATTTCCACATTGTTTTCATGGATATGACCTATACTAAAGGTCAAAGAAGAAAAATTAATTAATTAATCAATCAGTCAATTAATTAATTAATTAAGGACATTTGTATGGCACCCAGCTTAGACAATGTGACTCTGAGTGGCATACAAGAAATCATCAAACAAAAATACAAATAAAGCAACGCATACCTTTAAACCAACTAAGAGAATAAAATGGCAATCTGAACTAAAATATAACTCAACAGTAGGGAACTACAGGTAGCCCTTGACTTACAACCACAATTGGGACCAGAATTTCCATTGCTAAGTGATGCAGTGGTAAAGCAAGATGTCATGTGATTGCATTGCTTAGTGACAGCACTCCCCATTGCCATTGTTAAGCGAATTCCACCAGCCGTTAGCCGAGGACCCTCCCCAATCCAAGCCATTTTGGGCTTGGTCGCTTCCAGTCTTGAGCCTCAGTAGGTAAGGGACTGCCTCCAACTCCCCACACCCACCTATCTCTTCCCATCTCTGCCCTTCTGGCCACACTGCACCCTGCCTTGCGGGGCAGCAAGCAGCCCCTGAACCGTGCAGCTCAGGGGCTTCTTGGCCCTCCTTCCCCCTTCACTTGCTCGCACACCCCAGCACACTCCTTCCCCCTTTGCTCACATGCACACACTGCACCCTCCTTTGCTTGCTCACATGCACCACGCCCTCCTTTCCTCCTTCACTCACATGCACCATGCTCTCCTTTGCTCACTCACACACACCAGTGCCCTCCTTCCCCCTCCACTCGCTTGCATGCACCAGCACCCTCCTTCCTCCTTTGCTCACACACACCCAGTGCGCTTCTTCCCTCCGCTCACTTGCACACACCATACCCTCCTTCCCCCTTTGCTCACGCACACACACGCACCAGTGCCCCTTTGCTCACTTGCACGCACCACTCCCTTTTTTCCTCCTTCACTCACTTGCACACACCATGCCCTCCTTCGCTCGCTCGCACACACCAGCGCCCTCCTTCCCCCTTCGCTCACTCTCATGCACTAGCACCCTACATATAATTCAGTTATAAAGTAAAAAGTTGATAGAAGCGTTTGACCTTGTTGGAGGTTGGACATTCCTACATATATTTCCTACATATTCTACATATATTTCAGTTCCTACATTCCTACATATATTTCTACATTCCTACATATATTTCAGTTATAAAACATTCCTACATATATTTCAGTTCCTACATTCCTACATATATTTCTACATTCCTACATATATTTCAGTTATAAAACATTCCTACATATATTTCAGTTATAACATTCCTACATATATTTCTACATATATTTCCTACATATATTTCATTCCTACATATATTTCAGTTTTATTCCTTCATTCCTACATATATTTCAGTTATAAAGTAAAAAGTTTATAGGAGTGTTTAACCTTGTTGGAGGTTGGAAGTTGGGCAGAGTTGGAGTTGGGCAGAGAGACTGGGAGCCATGGACAGACTGTCCTTGTTTTAGAGTATTTTAGAGTATTGGTGTGTTCATTCTGAATGAATGTCGGAGGTATGCCTGGGTTACCACTTACCCAGATCAACACTGGATCTGATTTTAACCGGAGGAGGATTTGGTTGGAGGTGGTTGGAGAATTTGTCCAGGCTGAAGAAGCTGGCTGGAAGATGGGTTGCACTTGTTGCACTGGCCATGCCTGCCACATTTGCTGTTTGTTTGCCTCATTTGCCACCTGCCGTGCTTGCCTGGCCACACCTGCCACGTTTGCTGTGTTTACAGACGTTGCAGCCGTGCCTGCAGACTTTGCGGACTTTGCAGGGTTTTCATGCAGTGCAGGCTTTTTTGCTGCAAACATCTCTCCCCCTGTGGACTTTTTGCTTCAGACATCTCTCCTCTCACGGACATCTCTTCCCCTGTGTACTTTTGGTGGAGGACAGGGTGTTTCCTATGGCTGGTCAGCGTCACCGAGGGACTCCAGTCACTTGTTAATGATGGAGGCCCTCTGCCCGTTACTATGCCATGTGACCCTGGCAGCTTTCCATCTGAGAGGACGTTGGGACTTTGGAGACATTTGCAGTGGTAGGTGTGGGGGGGAGATAACAATAGAGTGGCAAGCTACTGTGGATTCTCCCTCCCTGCAGAAGCTACTTTGCCTTCCTTTCTGCCAGTTTCCGGAGAGGAAGAAGTCAACTTTCACTGACCATTTGGCATGGATTCCATCTACTGGCTAGGTTGCCTATAATAGATTGTGTACTGTGGGTTTCCCACTGTAGCTGATTCTCCCCTCTGAGTGAGAGCCAGAGGAAGGGATTGGTGGGGCTGGGGGTGAATAAAAGGGAGCCCTTAACCAGCTGGTGAGAGCAGCAAGGAAGGGGCCCCTGTGTGAGTGTTGTGAGTGTGTTTCTAAGTGGAGTGGGGAGGTGGTTGCTGGGTCCCCAGGTGGCACTGAGAGCTAGTGAAGCTAAAGTGCCTCAGAGTGCCTGGCTTCCCGTCCCTGGGATGAATGGAGTAGAGGACAGCAGGAGGTCCCTGGCCTCAGGAATTGGGGGCCTGGATTGGGGGATAGTGCTGCCTTTGGGGGGATAGGGACGGGCCAAAGTATTATGGTGGTGACAGGCATGGGGAGATATGGTGGGAAACAGGGAGTGGTCCATTCTCGGGGAACACGGGGCTGTTGTCTTATACTGGTTTCAGGTTCCAACCCCTGGTCTCAGCCCCTACACCCAGGCAACAGACCTTCAAAGGCTCTGGCTTTCAGCTGCTGCTTCTAAATGCCAGGTCAGTCTGCAATAAAGCCTCCCTCATCTGCAATTTAATAATCGATGAGGGCTGAGCTGGCATGCATTACTGACACCTGGCTGGGCCTGGAAGCGGGAGTGGCCCTTTCAGAGATATGCCCAGTAGGATTTTGGATTTGGCATCAGCCAAGATTCTAGGGCAGGGGTGGAAGTGTGGCGATTGTCATCTAGGAGTCTGTTACGGCTTTCAGAGGCGCTACACCACAGGTTACCAGATGTGAGGCCCTGTTCATTGAGTTGGCCTCTAGAGATCAGTTGGGATTGTTGCTGTTGTAGCAGCCTCAGTGCTGCACAGCAACCTTGCTGCCTGAGCTCCTTACCTCCATTTATGGTTTTGGGGAACTTTAATCTGCCTTCTCTAGGAGTGGGCTCTGAGGTGGCTTGGGAGTTCATGGCCACCATGACAGCCATGGGCCTATCCTGGATCATCCACAGCCCAGCATGGGACAGTGGTCACACACCAGATCTGGTATTCCTGTTAGAGCAGTGGCTATGCGATCTGAAATTGGGGAAGCTCTTGGTGTTTCCCTTGTCATTAGTCAGATCATGCCATGATTGCCATGGGATTCTTTAGCACTACTATTCACTGCAGGGAGGCTGGACCTATTAAAATGGTCCATCCCCAGTGACTGATGGACCTGGACAGGTTTCAGAGGGATCTGGGGGCTGTTCCTGCTGGCCTGCTGCATGGTCCATCCGAAGCCTTGGTCGCCACTCGGAATAGGGGGCAGCTGAAGCTTTGATCAGATCACGCCCATGCAACCTCCCCCCTCTCATGGATCCCATCACTCCCCATGCGGAGGGGTTAAGGGAGATGAAACGAGAGAAGATGTCTAGAGCATTGTTGGAGCTCAACAAGGGCCAAACTCAACTGAATGCAGGTTACAGCTACTATGAAGGCCTACCTTGTGGCAGTAAGGGTGGTGAAGTACCAGTAGTTCTCTGCCTTTATCACATCTGTGGCCCTGTTTCAGGTGACACATGCCCTCTTGGTTGGGGGGGGCTCGAAGGACCTCTTCCAGAGGTGTGCAGAAGAATTTATTCAGTGTCTGTTGGACAAAGTTGATTGAATTCATTTGCAGTTGGATGCTGGCCTTGTTGCAGGTCTGGAGGAGATGCCTGGGGAAGAGTCTTGCCTGGTTATCTGGGAATGGTTTGAACCTCTTGGGCTTGAGGAAGTGGACAGAGTCCTTAGGACTGTGAGCTCAGCCACCTGCTCTTTCGATCCATGCCCCTCCTGGCTTGTTAAAGCGGCCCAGGGGGGTGTTGTGTGAGTGGGTTCTAGTGGTGAATTCTTCTTTAAGTGAGGAGGTTATTCCTTTACCTCTTAAAGAGGACTTGGTTCACCCCCTCCTCAAGAAGCCATTGCTGGACCCTGGACTTATGATTGAGAACCATGATGAGCTAGACGTCTCTTCTTTGTAATGGGACAGCATTACAACAGAGGAGGCAGCTGGATGCAGAATCCAAGCCACCGATATCTCCCTGGAGTAAGGGGAGATCTAGAGATAGCCTGCATGACCCTGTACAGCCGCTCCTCTTGAGTAAACTGCAGGAATTGCCGTTTTGCAGTTTGCTTATGGGTTGAGCGGCCAGGAGTTGAGGGAGGAATCATCTTTGCTCACAGTCAATAATGCAGCCTTTTTAAAGGACATTAAGCTCGACGAAGCCTCAATTCTTAATCACTTTGGATTTGTGTTTTTTTCCCTGTTGCTTTAGAAAGATTAAGATCCTTCAGAAGGGCAAGTTATACTCCATTCAGTAGTTGAGTTGCCTTCTTCTTAGAGAAATAATATTTTAAAACCATTTTAAAAGCTTTTAAAAATATTACTTTCTGGATTAAACAGCAAAAGAGTGCTTAGAACTTGGATTTTAGAAAGTTTAACAACAAATTGAGGGCTCGGATTACTTGGAATTATAATTTTAAACTTTTGGAAGAATTCCTCCTGTGAGAAAGTGGCATTGTTTACCCTTTTGTTAGTCAAAATAAGATAATGGGACTATAAAGATTGGACACTAGAGGGAGCTAGGTGATAACAAAAGAATAGAAGGAAACAGTGAGTTGTTTGATGGAAAACTGAAAAAATTATGAACATTTATGACAAATGGTCTTTGAAACTCAGAAATGATGGATAGATGGACAGTTAAGGGTGTAATGGAAAAATAACAAGATACTCCGTATAAGTTTGAAATTAATCTGAATGTGGATATAAAGGTGGGGGAGATGGGTGGCATATAAATCTAATAATAACTTAAAATTAATTAATTAATTAATTAATTAATGAGAAGGATGCAGAAAAGGATGTACTGGACTCTCAAATGAAACATGATGATGCTTCAATGCCTAAAGGAGATACACAACTATCAAACCAGAAAAGAGATATGGGTAATTTTATTTCATTAGATGTACAAAAGAGATCTGTAAAAGTTTGAAGATTTTTTGAGAAGTGACAAGAAAAAGGATGAATTCCTCTTACTGGATTTACAAAACAGACTTGCTAAAGTTCTGAAAGACTTATTGGGGAAGGATAAAAAAAAGATGACAAGACATGAAGTTGTGGGACTCTATTTGAAGGGGTTAAGAACTAAGATGGTTAAAAGGATAGGGAAGGAATACAAGGTTGGCTTATTCGATCAAGGTTAAGATAGATAAATAGTTATATCTGACAACCCTTATTGGATTTTTGCTGATAAGGAATGAATGACAAGGATTTTGTATTTTGTTTTTAGCTAAGAGTTGACATACGGGGTGAAGAGAGTATATGTTGTAGCTTAAGAGATGGTGATAAATTTACTTAAATTGTGTGTACTTATTGGGATGAAGGGGGGAAGTTTTTTGAAAAGGAAGAAACTTCTCTCTCTCTCTCTCTCTCTCTCTCTC